TTCTACGCTTCCGTTAGCCCTTCCCCTACAGTGTCTTTCGTAAGACACGGATTTTTCCTGCAATTATGGTGCGGAGTAGGTTTTCGTTGATGAGGTTTATTTGGAAAATCTCTCTTACCTTTTATCCTGATGAACGCGCACTGCCCTGCTATGCACCTTTCGGCGAGTGTAATACTCCTCAGCTAACTCTGCTGCCTTCTTAAGCTACACTTCGCCAAGTATGTCCTGTAGCCAAAGCTTGACATCATCCTCGATGCAGCGGTAAAATTGTTTCAATACAATGCATTTGACCACTTTATCGTTGTCGTCGTAAACACCTTCACCCTCGATCCATTCAATGAAATCGTCTTTAGGACGAAACGCGAAGTCAAAATGTGACTCATTGCCCTTTTTTTCTTACCGGAACCTTTGCCGGAAAGCCTCGGGTGAAAAGCTATAACGTCTCAAAAGCACTTCCTTAACCTCGTCATAGCTCTCAAACGCTTCCCTTCGACAAGCACATTATCACGTCGGACACTTCGCCGGTTCTCGCCTTTTAGCCTCCTCGCGGTGTGCTTTGGTATCCGCCCAGGCCTCATCGACTTCCTCAGCTGACACTCCTTCATCCTTCATGATCTCAATGATCGCATTGCTTGCGTTTCGCAAGGGCCAAAGTAAGGCCAAGTTCCTCACAAATTTCGACGAGTTCCTTCACTTTAAGGTTTCCATCGTTCACACTAGCCTCTTGCTGTTTGCCTCTGTCAAGAACCTACTTGCCGTACCCACTATTACTCTACTAGCAAGACGGGCAAGCAATTTTTAACAATGCCGTGTTTAAACCCTCCGCATTAACTTCGGTTTCAAAGCGCTCCTACTTGGCTTGACCCGATTAAAGCTCGCTCTAATGCTTCACACAGCCCTTCTCTAAACTACTATAGAAGTCTAGGTGAACTGAGAGGAAAACATCAGAACTCACCGCATCGATGTCGCTGACGCCAGTCGATTCCGAAGCAGCCATCTACTGTTACGAGGTGCGCCGCCGCCGAGGTTACGAAGGGTGCCACGAACCTTGCCGCTTACAACGACACGGGCCACGCCGACCGCGTGGGGACTCGAAGCAACGAGATGTCTTCTCTCGCACGCATACGTCGGCTTCTCTCTGACGCATAGGTCAGCTGCAAACAACGCGCCGCTTGGTTTTTAATAGGCACCGGGTGGATCTTTGCGTCACCAACGTCGAATTAGAAGCGCCGCTGGCCGCGATGTCAGATTCCTACAGTCAGGAACAGCCGCTCGGTTGCGTCCGCGGACTAGTCCTTGCTGCCACGCATTGCGTAAGACTCGCCAGACCGTATGGCGACACTTGCAAGACGTCGTTGAGATGATGACGTCAGGCGGGCTCGCTTGCAGGCCTTGACACAGATTATCTTTGCAGAGACAATGACGTTCAGTGTGGACTCCCAGGCGTAACATCGGCTGCTGACCACAGTTCGCGGGATGGAATCTCGGCATGCGGCGACTGCATTTTTGATAGAGGCGAAAATGCTGTAGGACCCTATGTGGTCAGATTTAGGTGCACGTTAGGATCCCTGGTGGTCAAAATTTCTGGAGCCCTTCTCTACCTCGTCTATCGTAATAATAGGGTTGTTTTGGGATATTAAACCCCAGATATAATTCATTCTATTTTATTCTTTTAAATGTGAACATGTCTTAGCGAACTTCGGCGACTTTAAGCATATCTATCTATCTATCTATCTATATATCTATCTATCTATCTATCTATCTATCTATTATCTATCTATCTATCTATCGATCTATCTATCCAGCCGCCTATGACATATAGCTCTCCTGGCATTTTATAAAATGGTATCGATACCAAACTTGGTATGCCATCAAATGACTGTGTGAAAAACATATTTCCCTAGTCATAACTTGAAAACCAAGAGATGCATTTCATGAATGTCATGACTTACATTCAAGTGCCTGCAGCCCTTGTGGTGGTTTCGTTCACATGGCATGTTGAAAAACTTGTATGGTATGACATGATTGCATATCGAACACAAGCAACAGAGCTTAACATGAAAATCATGTAATGCGTGTCATGTAACAGCAAGACTACATGCCACGCTCATGATGCGCTCGTGGCCGTTTCGCCAGCTTCACATATACCAAATTCGGTATTACGAGACATGAATGGGTGACGAAGGTATGATACTGGTGCGAACATGATAAATATCAGATGCGTGTCATGCAACAACATGACTACATGCTATGCTCATAATGCGCTCGCGGCCGTTTCGCCAGCTTCACATGTACTAAACTCGGTATTATGCAACGTGAACGGACGATATAGGCAAATGACACACCCAAACATGATAATCATGGCATGCATGTCATGTAACAACATGACTACATGCCACACTCATGATGCGCTTGCGGCCGTTTTGCTAGTTCCACATATGCCAAATTTTGTATTACGTGACGTCAATAGATGTCGAAGGTGTGTGCCTGGTGCAAACATGATAATCAGGAGATGCCTGTCATGTGACAACATGACTACATGCCACAGTCAAGGCGTCAATACATTTCGACCTGACGCGGTGCGCGTGCTCGCCGGCATTTATTTCGTTGCGTAAGGGCCAAACCTCATAAGCGCGAAAATGCACGCGACAGCGACGAGCGACGCGACGTAGATTGTCTTCGCGCGATCAGTCGCTAGCGCAGGCAAACCTCATTCACGCGACGGCTTCGGCGAGCGAACTCCACTGTTGCTGGCATGAGGCCGTCTACTCGCACCAAAAAAAAAAACAAAAACCACGTAGTGAGCGGTATGCAATTTAAAATTAGAATATATTGTTGTGTAATGGAACGGAAAGTGTTTATGAGTGCCTTGCAGCACTTTTTTTATATGCACAAGCGTAAACGTTGCGTTATTTCTTGTTGCGCATACGTGACTCGGGCAGGATCTTGTGCACCGATGTAGTCTTTGTCTTTTCCGTTTTTTCGCTATTGGCTGCTGGAGCCCAGTACTTCCGGGTGATGAGCGACGGTTTCCAAATCTGGAGAACCGAGCGATCGCGCGAAAACGAGCACGCAACACGTCGCGCGAACGTCCTGTTTCGTCGCTCATAGCATCGCTCGTCGCTGTCGCGTGCATTTTCGCGCTTATGATGTTTGCTCTTAATGCCGGCGTTGCCACGCCAGGCGCCGGTCGTGCCATATCCTCGCAGGCGCGCGCCGCGCTGCGTTGCTTTGACGCATCGTGTTTCAGTGCGTCCGGCGTCCCTCCTTCAGGAAAAGAGGGAGACGCAGCGATGTCAGGGTAATGAATCGGCACGAAATGCAGCACGTCGCATTTCGCGCTGGTTGCCGTCGGGCCGCGGTGACGGTCGCTGGTCGCGCCGGTCGCACCTGGCGTCATAGTTTAGAGTGTACGCTTTTGCCTAACGTAGCGTCTTCCTTGCATCCAGCGTGTGCGCGCGTCAATGCTACGTTGGGGCATATTGGGCCCTTCATGATGCTCTCGTGGCAATTTCGCTAGCTCCACATATACCGAATTGGGTGTTACGTGACGTCAATGGATGACGAATTATATGACTGGCGCAAACATGATAATCCTGACACGTGTATCATGTAAGAACATGACGGAATACCACACTCATAAGCTTGCTCGCGGGCGTTTTGCTAGCTCCAGATATAATAAATTTGGTGTCACGTTACGTGAATAGATGACGGAAGAAAAATTGGCAGATCCCACGTTTAGTGGGAATCGATGATATGCGAAGCATGAAGGAGAAAGGTTGATATGACACTTTAAAATCAGCACAACGTTACAAGGTTTGTTTGATTGTTTTATTCGCATCTTGCACAACGTACATGACGCTGGAAGCGAAGCAGTAAAAGCTGTCAGAAATCGACAGCTTGACAGAGCTGCAAGCTCCCGAGCACTGGGCAGGGATCTGCAAATTTTTTTCAATTGAGAAACTCGCTGACAGACTGCTGCCTGCGTCGGCTTTGAGAGACGCCGCGGAAGGAGGTCCTAGACGAGAGGGCGGAGCGAGCGTAGGTTAGCAGACGCTCCTTGTGTAGGCATTGCGAGGCAGCAGAGGGAGGCGATGGAGATGAGAGAAAGGGGAGGATGCATCATGTGCAATAGGGGAGCGAGCGCAAGCAGGTGGTAGGAGACAAGTGGAGAGACTAACGCGCAGCTGTTGGAGAGAGAAAAAAGGAGAGTTTTACATGGCTAGTGTGAGTGCGGACTATGGGCGCGTGCCGTAACCCGAGCCAGAAGCGCGCTCCCGCGAAAGGAAGGGCAAGCAGCGTTCATCTAAAAATTTACCCCTTCCCGCGGCCCGTAGCGTTGCAAACATTTGTCAGACGTGATCGTGAACGCCCAATTTATGCATCGTGCTCGTCAGCTAAAAATCATCGAACCTAGGTGGCGGGCCCTCTTCAATATAAGACAACCGTGCAGGTACGACAGAACACACGAAATTCGATTTAAGTGCATCTACCGTTTTGCGCCACAAAACTAAGAAGCGGCCTACTGATGCGACGCAGGTTTTTCCCTGAGGTTCTGCATAATGCAGCCAAGTTGTGCTCACTTCTGTAAGTTTCTTTTCCTGAAACACAAAAAAAGTCATTGCAGTACTCAGAATTAAAAGTGAAAATTAAACGCGTTCTCCAACTGCTTTCAACAGGTTTACAATATGAACATTGTATAACGAGGTGCAAAAACGAAACCGTCTGTCCAGTAGCGCCACTAATACTAACCACGCCGTTCAAAACGAAAGTGATGTGAAAGTATTTTCCATTTTGTTGCAACGGTCAGCAACGATATGCAGCGAAAGTGCAGAAAATTTCACAGATAATGTGAAAAGCGATATCTTATTTAGTTAACGCGCCAACTACTCAGCACATAGTTTCTAAGAAGTCACGTGCCCGAAGGCTAACTGAAGAGGAATCGCCATTAGCATCTTGCTCGTTGGCAGCAAAGGTGGAAGTCCCCGTGCGCGTGAACCATGTCTGGTGTCAGCGAAGCGTTGAGTAAGTTGAGCTTCAACAGCAGCAGCAGCGGCAGCAGCAGCTCCAATGATGTCAGTCTAAGCGCCTCTTCCACAGACAACAGGGCCAGCGAAATCCGCGATGTTTGGGCCTACAACCTCGACGAAGAGTTCTACACCATCAGGAGCCTTGTTCGAAGATACAACTACATCGCCATGGATACCGAGTTTCCTGGCGTCGTAACGCAGCCCGTTGGAACATTCCGAAGCCTCACCGAATTACCAATACCAAATGATGCGTTGCAATGTGGACTTACTCAAGATTATCCAGCTGGGTATCACCTTTTTCGATGAGCATGGCAACAAGCCCGAACACGTCTCTACCTGGCAGTTCAACTTCAAGTTTAGCTTGTCGAAAGACAGGTTCGCGCAAGACTCGATCGACCTCCTGGTCAAGTCTGGTATAAAGTTTCGCAGGCATGAAGTGGAAGGCATTGAGCCGTATGAGTTTGCCCAGTTACTCATGAGTTCAGGACTTGTTCTATTAGACGAAGTTAAGTGGCTCACTTTTCACAGTGGCTACGACTTCGGCTACCTGTTGGAGATGCTTACCGGTCAAAACCTGCCTGTGGCTGAGACAGATTTCTTTGAGACGCTAAAACTTTATTTTCCCTGCATTTACGATGTCAAGTACCTAATGAAGAGTTGCGGAAGCCTCAGAGGAGGCCTGCAGGAAGTGGCTGGGCAGCTTCAGATCGAAAGAGTCGGATTACAACACCAAGCGGGAAGTGACAGCTTGCTTACCGGGGAGACTTTTTTCAAGATCCGAAAAGTGTTTTTTCAAGACAAGCTGGACGACGCGAAGTTCTGTGGTTTCCTGTACGGTCTGGGCGCGTCTTACGGCACCTACGGTGACCAAACGTTCGAAGTTGACGCAAGCGCACACCATATTGCTCAGATGCTATCGAGGTCCCCCCTGGTCGTCTATTCGAAACCGGGTCCAAAAACGTCGTGACCTGAACTCATTTGGAGTCCTGTCGCAACTGGACTCATGTTCTACAAACATTTGTCTTCTCATTCTGCATTGACTCATTTTGAATTGCTGCTTGTTCCATCAGCTGATTTTTATATATGTCATATTTTTAGAAAATTTTACATATTGTTTTTGTACATTGTATGTCATGCCACTGTAATTATACATATATTTTTTTTGTTGATGAGTAGTTTTTTTTTTCCGAGTTTGAACGCTGAAAACACTTAGCGGCAATTCGAGTGGTCGTAAGTGCAATCATTTCATTGATTTTCTGCTTCATGCTCCACTCTGGCTCTATCTGCCATTATAACTTTCGTAATATAGTATAGCTAGTCACAGTGAGGTAGCTCTCGGACTTTTTTTCATTTTGTGATAAGCAGAGGGAGGGAGCGCTAGCGCCGTGATCCTTCAATGTGATTAAGCGGTAATGATCCTTATGTGCAGGGTATACAAGTGCCTTAGTGTAATATTTTGTTACAGAAGATGTTGACCTTGACATCTGCAGTGTCTGCAAGATTAATGCTTGATTCTCAACGTCTGCACGCACCTCGCTTGAGGAAAGGGGAAAGGGGGCGTTTCCGAGTGAGCCGCTAGATGGCGTAGCACGTAGAGCAAGATTAGCATAGTTACAGTTTCCATAGCTGAACAAATCTTCTTGTTGAGCTTGTTGCTAACTCGTAATATTGTAAGGACTTTTCCGCTATATGGCATGCCTAGAAACAGTCGTATATTCATAAACGCTACCACTCAAGAATTCAATGTGGCGTGGGTTTCTTGAGGGGTAGCGTGATTTCATAAGTGACAGCCTGCTTGAATAAGTGAGCATTTCTAGAGACGCTAGTTGAGCTAAGTTACCTACAATATGTATATGCACCTCTTAGGGAAGCTGAGTTTTACCCCTTTCCACGTGCCACTCTTTCGAAATTGCACTAGTGCAGTCACGTGCAATACTGAACTGCGGTGAAGCCAACCTGTCGATCGTTTGTTTCTGAACTCAGCCGGTCTGAGATTGCGTGCACGCCTATTCCGATTAAAAAATGAACGTACAGTCAACCATACAAGTTTACAGACCACGCAAGCGCATGGTCGAATGCGTCTTCGCAGCACTTCCGCTACGTCAGCGGCAGTCGACAGCACCGCAGTGCCCTGAAAGCATCCCTCCCCTAATTGATGGCCTGTCGTCTTTCTGATTGGGTACAAATATTTTTCACCTTTCGCTTTTCGACGCGACACGCTTTTGGCATCTGCTTGTACGAGCTTCTTCCTGGAAAGCAGTCTATGAGCATTACTGTTATCAGTCGGAATATTTATCAGAAAGTGCCATCTAGCCAACGTAACGCAACTGCGGCAGGCCGTAATAGTTTTAATCCTTCTGTGAAAACAGCAACGTGATGGTCATACTGCAGATAAGCTGACTTCCCTTTCTTCTCGTCGTAAGTTTTTTCGCCTGTGCCTTTTTCATGAAATCTTCCATAATAGCCCCCACCTTCGTGCTAATCTTTTTCTTTCACCGTCCTACGTGTCCTCTCGCATCGATCATGCGCACAAAGTTGGTATACCTATATGCCAAACAATTACGTGTTCAGAATCTTTTGTCCCACGCACCAGCAAAGACTGGAACCAGCTTCCTGGAGCGACTGCTGCGATTACTGATTATCAGCTGTTTCGCGCTGCACTAACAAACATTGTAAACTGAGGTTACCTATTACGTGTGCCTTTTTCGTTTTTTCATGTTCTTGCGTGTTCTGTTGTGTTTTGTAGCTAGAATTGTATACTAGGATTATTTAAAAGATGTACACCAGATCTCTTTTGTTCTACTTTTGTGTCCTAACTTTGTTACCAGCTAAAATTGATTATTTAGTAAACGTTGAATCCTGTACTCCCCTTTACTCACCTTCTGAATCCATTTTTTGTAAACCCACTCCCCTCTTCAATGCCTCTGGCCCTGAGGGTATAATATATAAATAAATAAATAAAAGCGCTTCGCGGGAAAACCACAAACTAACAACGCGCTACGCGGCAGTAGAAAACTGAAAAGCCAGTGAATAAGAAGACGACCCGTGTACGGCCCAGAACTGCGGTCGACGGTAGATGGCGTACCCCTAGGTGGCGCGGACAGGCATTTTGGCATAGAACCCCTTGATCTTGAGAAAGTACCACCATCCACTGCACTCGCCGCCGCGCGCTAGACCTCCTCTCTCCCTCCTCGCCCCACTTCGCGTCCTCCCGGTCTCCGACACTTTTTCTGCGCTATGAAGGTCTCCTTTGCGGTTGCCCCTTTGAGACGCGTCGATCTTGCGCTTTGCTTGTGTTTTAGGAGCGAAGCTCCTTAAGGCGGGGGCTGTGCGTCCCCTGTATGTAGCCACCTCTCGTTCAGTTCTTGCAGTGTTCACTAGATGGCGGTACTTGTAGCTGACGGCATTAAGTATTACGCTAGCCACCGCCCGATCTAAAGGGTACAGCCATATCCATCCGTCCATCCGTCCATCCATCCATCCGTCCATCCGTCCATCCGTCCATCCGTCCATCCGTCCGTCCATCCATCCATCCGTCCGTCCGTCCGTCCGTCCGTCCATCCATCCATCCAAAAGATGCAAGATGTTATAAACTAGACGGCGGTACGTGTAGTTGATTATGAAAGATGCGAGGTGTTATAAAATAGGAATGATGCCACATATGGCGCGTGTCATCGTTCGATATAGTGCGGCGACGTACGCTAGGGGGAGCTTTGCAATAAAATCGAGTGGGCAAAATGTACGGAGGATTCATGGTTTACCAGGTTTACCTCCGGAGCTTCGCCCACTCATCATCATTCACTTCGTGGATGTGGCGGCATTTTTTTCTTTTGCGCTCGCACCAAATTTCACCGACGCTCCGCGTAACGAACGTAGCGAACGCTTTGTTTTCTGTGCTTTGTGCGGGCGCTATGCCGTTTTGTTGCGCCCATGACTGCAACAGCAGCAATGAAAAATGGTTATGCACTTTTTATGATTTCCAAAGGTAAAAGCGATGGCTTGCGATGAAGGACACGAGCGCTATGTGTGCTTCGTGTCCTTCTTGTCTCTGTCTCGTCGTTCTGTTCGCACACTATAACTATCGTCGAGTAGATGAACACATGGCTAAACGATCCGCCATCGACGAAGTCATTGCAATGTGTGACGCTGTAAGTACCCGTGTCGTATACTGGCAAACAAGCACGAAAAGAAATCCGAACACAGACGGACATGCCACAAGCAGAACTATATCAGATGCAAGCGTACAACACGTTATGATCGTTAGAACTCCTCATAAAAACTTTAATTTATTTAACGCGCCCACTTATACGACCTTCGGAAGAAGCTGTTCTTTTAATAAACGGCTACCTCAGTGTTCTTAGTCTTATTATCACTTTTTAGAAAAAATTTCATAACTACTGTGGCGTGCAGGCTGCCGCAAATAAGCCGCCTCCATTGAATTCTGCGGTGCGCCCGCGGGAGCGTCGGCGAAAAATGGCGCCGCGTGTACTGCAAGCGGGCGAGGAAAATCAAGGAGGAAACGCGCGCGTGGAGGAGAGTGTCGTTACTTGGGGTTACCACTACGAGAAGGCCCGGAGCAGAGAGCTCAAGGAGCTCATTTCCTCGCTGAGCCTGACACTTCTTACCGATCCGGCACAACCCACACGTTCCGGCAACTCGGTCACGCGAGACACATGCCCCGACCTCTCCCTCACCCGTCACATCCGCGATGCTACATGGGAGAATTTAGGCGAAACCCTAGGCAGCGATCACTTTTTACTCCGCATTTCGTTCACACCGCGGCAGAAAATGCGCCAACACTGGGGCCAAGCCCGTCTCACCGATTGGACTCGGTTCAGAATGCAACCATTCCCCGCCGGCCTCTCCTCGACCGAATATGCAGCGTGGGCATCATACGCTCTTCATATGAAACAAGCGAACACTCGCACCCTTGCAACCTCTAATTTGACTCCTGCAATCGATCCACACCTCCTACATCTTTGGCACGCTCGCCGCGGGCTCATAAGGCGCTGGAAACGCAACAAACTTAATCGGAAACTTCGCGCTCGCATTGAGGCGCTCACTGCAGAGGCGGCCGCATACTCCGCACAACTTTCCGATGCTAACTGGGCAGACACCTGTTCGAAGGCTGCAAAGCAGATGAGCTCTAAGAGTGCGTGGCGACTCTTAGAAGCCTTCTCGATCCCTCCACCACCAGGGGAGAAACGCAACGCCAGCTCCACCGTGTTATGCATGCCTTTCAAGGCACTACGGATGAACTCGCGCGAGAACTTTGTGACCGCTACATCTGCCGCACAATTGATCCCGCAGGCCCAGCATATACGTATTCCGGCGCCCCGAACACCGACCTCGACGCCCCATACACACTTTCTGATTTACGATTTGCACTCATGAAAATGCGACGGGGCACGGCCCCTGGACGCGACGGAATCACAGTATCGCTCCTGGCAAATCTTCCCGACCAAGCACACCTCTCGCTACTCCACCTTATAAATTCGATATGGGACGGTTCTCCGCTTCCAACGGAATGGACCACATCGGTCGTGACATTCATTCCCAAATCGGCAAAGTCCATTAGTATTGAGGCACTGAGACCCATCTCACTTACGTCTTGCGCAGGCAAACTCATGGAAACCATGGTTCGCGAACGCCTTTCCGCCTACTTGGAGGCCAGGAGGACCTTTGCCGACACGATGTTTGGCTTTCGCCCACATCTGTCGGCGCAGGACGTCCTGCTCCAGCTTCAACACGATATCATAGAGCCGACTACTATGCGCCATAACCATAAAGCCGTGCTCGCTCTCGATCTCCGCGGGGCGTTCGACAACGTCAAACACAGCACTATACTCACTAACCTGTCTACCACAAACTGCGGGCAGAAGACTTTCAACTACATTCGCGCGTTTCTATCACATCGCACCGCCTTCATTCGCCTTAATTCTACCGAACACGGCCCTTACTTATTAG